AAACACTGAACTAGATGGTGTCCACACTGGGATCCAATGTTGGAACAAATTCTGGACACTGCTTTTCCCTTTCCTGATCTCTCTCTCGTTTCCAGGTGATTTGGAAGATCAAGAGCAGCGCGAAGCAAGTCTTGCTCACTGTTCTGGAAGGGAACACCTATGAAGTAACCAAAGCCCTCAACCGAGATCTTGACCGGCTCTTGTCCAGTTATAGCAGGCCACGCCTGTGCTGCGTTTCCAAAGGCCCAAACGGCTTCGGCTTCAGCGTGTCAGCTCCAGAAGGTAGTTGCCGGAGTAATCTCTGCTCATCTCTGTTTGTGCTGGTGGTTTGCGCTTTGAACTAGAAAGATCCTGCCATGGGGAAAGCCAGAATTCTTTGGCTGGTGTCTGGCTGGGCTGGCTTATTTTTGCATGCCTGGTCTGGCTGCCTAGATACACATTTGACATGCATATCCTGCAAGGGGCACAATCAGAGACAGTTGATGGAAGGGATCACGTGAGACGGGGTGAGACATCTCGAAAGGGACGTGCCATGACAAGGCCTGCCCTGACATTCCTCTCCCTTGGGATTCCTGGTTCTGCACCTAAGCTAAACTGACAGGCCACCTTGGTACAGGACCCAAACCAGTGCTGATGGAAGGGTCAGCTGCCTGTCCAGCTGGCTTTTTTTTCCATGAAAGGGGAGAAGTTTCTGTCCGTTACTTTGGGGCAGAAAAAGGCAGCCCTGGAGGTAAATAATTGGTCACAGCTTTCCCCTGCCAAAATACTGGGCATTGTAGTTGGACACCATTCCTGCTAGTTCTCCATTAAGAGACTTATAGGGATTAAAAAGTCAATAAAAAGTCCTCCAAAGTCCTTAAACAGTCCTTAAAAAGAGGAAAGGCTTTTAAATCCATCTTAACTCTATAGTTGGGTTCGCATCTTACACTAAGGCTCAACATGGCTGGTTTGCTTGTATTAGCTGCCTTGAATATACTGAACAGCAAGGCGGGGAATCAGCAGTAAACCCCAGTCTTTGTAGGAGGCAAAGCATGATTTATTTGTCTTGGTGTGTTGAGTAAATCCAGCCAATTGCAGCTTGCTCAAGAAAGCAAACTTGAGTAAACCAGGACTTAACACAAAGTACGGCATGACCCCAGTCACAGCACGAACAATCGTAAGCCTTTGTCGCATTTCAGCAACTTTTTCTTCTGTTCTGCTAAAGAATTCAGTTCTGGAGGAAGGGGAAGGTGGCTGGGGCCAGGTCTGCTGTTAGAGGGAAAAGCAACCTAGGAATGCTGGTTTTTTTCTAGGGCCCAAATTCTTTTCCTTCAGAAGGGTTTCTCCTGATGCCATGGTCCTTCTGTTCAGGTGTGACCGGCATATTCCAACTCTCTGTGCTGCAGGACGGGCCAGCTCACAAAGCAGGTGTGCTGCACGGGTCCTGGCTTCTGGAGCTCAACGGTGTCAGTGTTAAGAATTGGACTACTGCACAACTCAACCAAAAGGTTCTAGGAATGCAACATACTTTAAGATGCATTGATTCATTAATCGCCAGGCTGTCATCACACTGTACATATTGTGGGCATTTATGGCCTCCATATCTGGCTGGGGCAGGTCTTCCCACTCCATAAATCCTTCCTCTGCTTCGTTGTTTTCCCTGCACCAGAGGAAGAAGGGAGTAATTCCTTCATCTGTCATGAGTGGGCAAAGTTCTGCAGGAGGGCAAAGGACGACGCTTCTGGAATAAAGAGCGAGCTTTCCCTCCCAGAACTCTATCCTTGCCATCCTCTGCATGATTTATATGCAGCCCCTTTGCGGCAAAATCATTTCCCAACCCTGTCTGGAACTGTCCTCTGCAGTGTGCCAAATAGGGTGTTTGATGACCATCGTCTTTTCTCTCTTGATACTTTTGGGCTCCGTTCGGATTCAGCTCAAACAGAGCAGCAGCCCCATGGGACTGTTGATGATCGACAGCCGGTCGGAAGAGGCTTACCAACAGTGTGGTGTTAAAGTTACAGCTGCTCTGGCTGATGCCTCCTGGGTTCCATTCCAAGTGAGGAAGCTCCATATGATGCGAGGGGAAGACGGATATGGATTCTTGATGAAAGAAGAAAAAACTGGCTCCGGGAAGAGGGGTGAGACATCCCCATTGCAGGCTCCATTATAGTGTCTCCTTAAAATACAAAGCAGGTGACTTTGGGCAGTGTGGAGAAGATGCTCGACCTTTCTCCCTTCTGCTCATTGCTTCTCAGCTATTCTGCTCCCCAGGAGGAAGAGAACTGAGAATCAAGCGCATTTCCTCTCGCAGTGGGGTGGAAGGATTACAGGGGCAGCCTTTCCCAGCCTACGTCCCTCAGCTATCTTGGCTTACTCCCTACACCCCAGCCATATGGGCTGGAAGTTTGGAGCTGTATCCAGCAGACGTGGGGGTCACCAGATTGGGAAAGCCAGATTTAGAATATGCCAGCGGTGGAAGCAGTTGTATCCCTTTCCTCTAGCCAAGCTCCATTTATCCTTTCAAGTAGCTTTGGTGGCTGTGCGAGAAAAAGCATGCCCATCTGGTGGCGAGGGGGGCAGACCTTTCAACTAACTTCCAGGTAGAAGTGGCAATGACCAAATCAAGAACAGGTCTGGAAAAGACGGTCAGAACTCTATCCTGGAGAAAACTCCAACTCTAGGGCCTGGAAGTTAGTAGCTACATCTGTCCCTGCAGAAGGATTTGTTGGAATAATTTCATGCCTAGGCTGATCTATCTTTCCTGTCTTTGACTCGCAGCCCAATTTTTGAGAGAGGTAGATGCTGGGCTACCAGCTGAGAAGGCAGGGGTGAGGGAAGGTGACTGCCTCCTGGCCGTGAATGGCGAGATTGTTGAAGACCTTGACCACCAGGAGGTGGTGTCGAGGATCCGTGCTGACAACCAACGGGTGACTCTATTAGTCATTGACTCAGAAGGAAGCAAGTTCTACAATATGGTACAAAACTCTTCTCGTTTATGAACCCCAGCCAGAAAGATAAGAAGACAGAGATAACAATACGCAGAAATCACTTTGGAATTCTTTGTGCATATATAGTCTATAAACAATGTACTTTAATAGTAGCATTTCTCCCCTGAAGCTACAAATTCAGAATGGGAGGCAGGGAAAGCTAAGAGAAATCTCATCATTCTCCATTAAACTACAATTTAGTATAATTCTCTAGAGACCATGTAAACTGATATAAAAATGATGCATGCTGATAGTGTATTTATGAAAGTGTTGGGTACTCAAGATGGGTTAGATTTGACTCCACCCCATGATATAAGAATTTTTAAAAAGCCTAGCTTGTATTAGGAATTTACTGATTGATTTATGGACAATATGCCAACTCTTGATTTGGGTCTACATTCCAGGTTGGAGTATCTCCTTTACTGTTCTATGATGATGAAGACTCTGCATCAAGCTTTCTGATCACTCACGGTTCTACTTCTCCCAGCATCCTTCAGGAAAAAAGCTGCCCCGCTTTGATACCTTGTGAGTGTCAGCAATCTAGCAATGCAGCCCCAGCTGGCCAGCCTGACCCTACTGCATGGACCTTCATTAGAGAGGTAAGAAGTCCTAGCAAGTCTCAGCTTTCTATGAAGTCAATGACTTGGCTTTCTCCAGCACCACATCATCTCTTCTCTTTTGGATCATACCACCAAAAAGTAGAATTGTTCAGTGTTACATTTCCTTCTCTGGAATCATCTGTTGAAACATGAGCTACCTTCTGTTTGTTTCACACAGGACCATCATGGCTTTAGCCAGGCATTCTAGAGTGTACCCTGATCGCTCCTTGGTCTCAATGGAAAAAATGAGCACCTTTGCACAAATTTCCAGCACTGCAAGTTGACCTCATCTCTCCAGACCAGCTTTTCCAATCCCTCTTCTGCCTCATGTGTCAATCTGTCTTTGCACTCCAAATGATTCCTGCAGAACTTGGCAAGTGGGCCAAAGATTCAAAGCAGAGCATGATCAGAGATGGAATACATGAGTCAGGCCATCATGTGGGAGCTCCTTTGGGCAAGGAGGCTGGAAATATTGCAACACAAGGATGGCCCTCGTTCAGTGAGTTTTGTGGAAGGGAAGCTAATCTTGCAGTCCTATCTGAAAGTGATACCGTGCTCCATCCCCACATAATTCCTACCAGCAGAATGTAAATGAAGAGTGTTTACCACTTCATTCTGGCTCCATTTCCCCCATCAAAATATTCCTTCTTATTGGAACCAGTGAAATCAAGCACCATACCTCCTTCCAACTTTTTCTGACAATCAACCTATCAATTTTGCATAAAGCAGACTGTGAAGGTTAGCAGAAAGTGAGGGAGGGGCTTCCAATCTCAGATTTCCCTCTTCGGGGTCTTTTTCTGAGAGGAGAGGCAAGGTATCTTCTGTTCTGAGGGATACCCTCCAAAGTCGACAGGATTATCCCCTCAGCTATGTCAACGGGAATCAATGTGTTCTGAAACAGAAAACTGAAAGATATAACAGGACTACCTGATCTGGAACGTCTTTCTTTCCTTGATTTGAGCTGTGTAAGAAAAGAGTTTGTTAATGATGGAAAGTGCTTTTCATCCACTTAAAGACTCAACAGTTTGGATTCACACATCACACTAAGCCATGATTTGCTTTAATAATGGTTTGTTGCAAGTCACAGGGACCGGCTTCACACATGGCACTAAACCAACCCAAATAAACCACGCTGTGTTTTAATGCAGCGCGTGCTGCTGCTGAGCAATGTTGATTAATATCTCCATGTTCTAATGTCCTTGGCAATATGAAACTCCAGTGAGGGTAAGAAGACAGACCTTAGCTCTGCTGAACGCTGCTTCAGATCTCCAGTGGGTTAAGTCCAAACTCCTTTAGCGTATTCTTACATTTGATATGGAGGAGGGTAGCCTCTGTCTCCCAGCCAAGTTTGGTAGTTTGTAGCTTGGAAAGCAGCTGATCAAGGGTATCCTGATGAAAGGAAGTGAGAGCAGTGGGGAAATCAGGTCAAGAGCTCAGGGACAGGATGTGGTCCCGGGCTGAATGTCCAAAGTGCAAAGCAAAGGGAAGGATAGCTGTGGTGGCAGATCTGCAATCGTGTTCCCAGAGAACCTCCCGCTTTAAAAATGCCTTGGAAGGTTTGAGGAGGAGGATTAAATATACATGCAAAGTGATGGAAGGAAATGTCCGAGTCGCACGGAATGCTTTTCCAGGCATAAGGGTTTATAGAAAAAAAATACAAACCAACAAACCAGCTTGCCTGCTTGAATAGGGTGATGAGACGAAGAATATTGCCAAATAATTTTGACTATCATCATGCCCGAGAATAACCTACGACTCACAGAAGTACGTACAGTGTCTAGCATATTTTAACGTCAGCAATTGCGGGAATGCTAATCTCTCTCCCTCTTCCCTGAGCCTTTGGTAATGACCAATACTGAAAAATTTATCTCCTCCCCTACGGTCTTGGCTAGACCAGAATCAATGTCCTTCCCATCCCCGACTCACATGCAGGATTCTTTCATATTCCGTCTCCATCCGTTCAGCCTTCTGTTGCATCTCAGCCACAACCTTGTCCTTCTCGTCTGAGATCTTCGCTCTGTCCCCCTCGCTCCGCTGCAGGTTTTTTTGGCAGGCAGCTGCCAAGCACAAATGGGGTGGGGGCACAGAAAATGAGGTGAGGGAAAGCGGAAGAGAGCTGAGCTGATGCTCCCAAGGGAAATAGGGCAGCCCCAGACTTCTTGGAAGGAGGAAGAGGAGAAGGAAATGTGAATGGCAGTTCAGGTTTCCTGGAAAAAGCATTCTTGCCCTAGGGCACTTAGACATTCAGTGCTTGGGGACCATTTAGACCAGTCTTTCTCAACCTTGGCAGCTTTAAGATGTGTGGACTTCAACTCCCAGAATTCTTAAAGTTGCCAAGTTTGAAAAACATGTCCTTATTCCTATCATAAGTAAGAAGCATGGAAAGAACATTTCCCCCAGCAAGATTATGCTGTGTCTTGTGCGTATTCACTTACTAACAGAACAAATTCCCTAGGAAGTGTCCTTAAACAAAAACTTTAAACTTGCTACCTCCTTTTTCACTCTGAGACCCAGGTCTTCTGTTCAACTTGACCTTCAGCCGTTCTCCATCCTTGCACATACCTTTAAAAGAACATCTTTGTTGACATTCTTACTGGAAACAAAGCCCCTTAGCTGTGCTCCAGCTTTACAAGTTGGGTGTTAAAAGAACAGTGTAATAGCTTAAGGCTTTTTTTTTTAAATCTTCTCACTGTCTCTGGCTTCTTAGTAAAAAATGATTAATTCTCTATCAGCATGATGCATAAAAATGAAGGGGTATATATCTTTTTCGACTAATGTTTTGTTCCATGGAAGCATGCAGACTTTCAGTTATGCAATACTCTTCATCAGAATAGATGAAAAAGTGAGTAACAATCGCTTTAGATCAGCATTTCCCAAACTCACCAACTTTTAGATTTGTGGAGTTCAGCTCCCAGAATTCCCTAGCCAGCATGGGGCTGGGGAATTCTGGGAGTTGGTCCGCTCATCTTAAAGCTGCCAAGGTTGAGAAACACTGCTCTAGACATTCAGGATTGGGGACCAGACTGGGAACTTCAAAAATGTTGCAGACCATAACATTGATAAATCATTTCCCTAATGTTGCCAAGAAGGCATGATAAGTGGGTGTCCTAGAAATCAAATAAATACATACTTTTTAAAAAAAAAATGGCATGGTTGAGTCCATGTAGTCAGTCAGAACCTGACACAAGAATGTCTTTATTTTTCAAATGTGGCAAAACCTGGACTTTATTCCCATAGATGATATCCTACTCTGATGCGCTCATGTCCAAATTTCATTTTGTAATAAACAATAATAATAATCTTAACACCAACTCAGAAGGACGCAGTATTATCTTGGACAGGGGGGTTCTCCCTTGCCTTCCCCCAAGTATAAATGCAGGGAGTGGCCTCTGTTGTTATCTTGTTCTATGCCGAAGAAAAGCCACAGGAGCTCTGCATGAAGAAATTCTGAGTTCCGCAGCAGGAAAACATTTTACAAGTGGAATTGTGTTTTACTATGGTCAATATTCTAATGGTTTATATATTAAAAAATCACCAGGAGAAACTGCAAATTCCAATTCCAGCTGTTAATGTTCAAAAGGTGCAAGAGAGAGGGTGCCGCTATTTAATTAGTTTCCTCCCAGTCCTTAAATGCGAGTCACCACTGGCTTAGAATCGCTACAGCCCATCAGCGTAACCCTCTCTAAGGCCGAACATGTATGCGCACGCAGTACCAAGTTGTTCCTGCAAGTTCTGCTTCTCAGCTTCCAAACGCTGTATCCGGATATCCGTCTGGCGCTGAAGCTGCTGATATTGACGGATCATCTCTGAAACGGAGTGAACAAATGCAAGCGGCATTAGAGAGAAGGAGATTAAACCCTTAGCCACCCCTAGATTCCTAGATGCTATTTTCATAGCATCCAAGAATGATGCTTGAGAGTGTAAAGTGACCTAAAATATACAGGTCCTTTCCTATCACAAGGAGTAGAAGTGGTGGGAGTGCAAGATGGGGAGGAAAGAAAAGTTGAGCACCCTACAGAAGGAAATTTTGCTGCAGTCTTATTTTTTACAGCTGTTTTGGGGTGATGATGTATACTGAGAAGAGGCATGGTGTTTTCTAAAGATAAATTGATTCTCTCCATCGGTGTTTCTCAACCTTGGCAGTTTTAAGAAGCCGCGCGGTTGACATTCCACACACCATC